CAGCCAAGTTGCTTTGATCATTGAAATAATTCATCTTGTTGAGGTCAGGGGGGGCAGCTCCCAACTTTTCTGAAGGTACTAAAATACAATTAAAGTCACCACCAACCATCCAAAAAGAGTTACAAGAGCTACTAATATCTTTAAGACTCTCCCAACACTCCTTTCTAGCACTAGGAGAGCACCCAGCATAAACAAAAGTAGTCAGACCAGTCTGACTCCCAACTTGAAGCTTGATATGGAGGAATTGTTGGTGATCCCACAGTATACTTCAAGACACCTCCTTCCTATGTAACACCCAAATCTTGTTATTCAAATTAGAGACATAAAGAAAACCAAGGAATTTATTTATAATTCTCTGGGAATTTTTAGATACCATAGGCTCCAGAATAGCCATGAACCAAAATTTATACATCCTATTCAAGGCCATCAGTCTGTTATGGGATTTAGGATGTGCCAATCCCCTAACATTCCAGCACAGAAAGTTCATCATCCAATAGATACTGATTTTCCCCTCCTTCTGGCTTTAGCCATATCCTCTAGAGCTTCTTTATGAGATTTTCTATCCCTGAGAATGTAACTTCCCCCCTTTTCATTATTTAAAACTTGGAAACCATTTTTGTTTTTCTTAGCTTTCTGGACAATCCATTCATCCTCCAGGGCTGTCTGTAACCCCTTAATTAATGTTGTGTCAATCTGTTGTTCCCCCAGGGCAGCCTCAGTCCCTAATTCCTGATTAGTATCCCCCTCAATAGGATTCCAATCAATGTTTAGTACTTCATTGATTGTCTGGTTGTAACAAGAAAAGTCAACTTCTGAAATAGCATAAGCTTTGGCATTTACATCCTGCTGGTCCAGCTGGTCATCATTCTCAACTTGGGAAGGGATGATGCCCTGATGGCCATCATCCTCACATCATCCTCATCCTCACTGCCCTTGGTTATCACCTGATTCAAAGGATTATCATACTCCTCTTTTCTCAAAAGCTCAACATCAACAGATAAATGATCTGCCCCCTTAGAAGTCCCCCCAGCAGTTCTTCTGAGATGGGGATGGCTTTTGTAACATTTGTTATCAGTGTGCCCAAACATGCTGCAATGGAAACAGTAGTATGGCTTCTGTTCAGCAACTATCCTTTGCCAATAGCCATTATGCTCAGTCCCCAACCAAATTTCCTCACAACAGGAAGGGTGATATCCCTTTCTACTAATATTCTGGCTACTGAAGGTCTGGAGAGGTTGAAAGTAGGGACATCCAACTTCAAAGGTTTCCCCAGAGCTTGACCAATATTAAATAGAACTTTATGATTAAAGAAGTGAAGCTTTAACCCAGGGAGTTTGAACCAAATAGGAAATACAGGCAGCTCCTTGCTCGGGTCAAACTCAGTGGACCATTTTAAGATCTTCATAGTAATACCATCAATCTGTAAAATCTGTTTGGAGAAAACTCTAGCATAATCATCTTCTCTTGACAGTTTATTAAGGATGTGTCTGCCATCAATGAGACCCACCCTCCAAGCACCTTTGAGATTAATGCCATCAAAGAGTTTTCTAATGGCTTCAATTTTTGGGTGTCCCATCTGGAATTTACCAATGAGAGAAAATTTGCAAACCTCAGTTAGGTTCTGTATCTCTGAATCATTATAAATGATAACCACCTTCCCATTTTTCTTACTCAAAGGTTTTATTAAGGGGTCAGCTGCCTCATGGTAGCTCTGGGGGAAAATAAGGTCATCAAAATCCTTAACTGTCTTAACTGTAGTAGCTCCTTGCTCCTTTACCAACCACATCAGCAAAAGTGGCCTTAGCCCATTGGACATTGGTAGATAAATCCATATTGTTAAGCTCAGCCATAGCTAAACAAATTCAATAGAATAATAACCAATTCAAATAAAGGTTTCCCGGTAAGTAAAAAACCAGAAAACCAAAGCAAGTAAAAGACCAAGAAGAAAGAGAAACCACTAGAAGAAGAGAAAGAACCAGTTAGCAACCACAAAATCAGGAAATCCATGGAAACCCTAGCAGAGTAACCTCAAAGCCAGCCGCCACTCCAAGCTCCATCATATATATATATATATCTTTTGGAAAAGAGCTAACTATGGCTCCTTACATGTTAAACAGACAATTGAGTTACAAAACAGAAAGGGTATATCACTTAACCTACACCCAGATCTCCTAACCCATATAGTTCTTACAACCATGCTCACAAATGTAAGATTGATATCTAAGTAGCACATTGTATGTACCCCCAGAAAAAAATCAATCTCTACAGTGAAGATAAGGAATGGATAAGGTGTCCCCATGTAGTAGGAGAGCTAACTGATTAGGAGGTATAGTCCCTACAATAATCTCTTCAGTTTCCTTCCCCCTGACTGACAAACTGTTTCCTAGAGTGTTTCCTTCTCTAAGAATGTGTTGGAAATGCACATCAACCTTAATCAACTGTCTTTTAATGTTATTGTGCCACCAAACAAGGTTCCATGGAGCAACTTCAATATTTTTCAGAATTCTGATGCAGCTACTGGAATCAGATTCTATTACCAATTTAGAGATGTTACATTGCTTGGAAAGGTAGATAGCTCATAAGATGGCTATCATTTTAGTTTCAAGTGGATCATTAGCCCAAGTAGGAGATGAAAAGTAAAATATGCACTTTCCTTGATTGTTCCTAATAACTCCTCCCTTGACATCCTTGGCATTTTTTAATGCCCAATAAAGGGTAGCAGCTTCTGTTTCCAAAGCATCTTCTGCAATATAGGGGGCCTTGAAATAGTGCAAAGCTTTGCCTGTGTGATCTATGAAGATTCCTCTAATACCAGCTTTCTTATTTGTGAAGCTTCCATCTGTGTTTATTTTAATGAAAGGGTAAGGGGGCTTCTCCCATCTAACCTTAATAACCATAGGATGTTGGGTATCAATATTGTTCATAACCTTCAAAACCTGAGGGAACTTCTTCCAATTTATCAGCTTATGTAAATAGGCCTGGCAGTTAGCTGCCACAGAAGCAGAAGGAGACACACTGTCCTCATGCTTCACCTTGTTCCTAGCATTCCAAATAAACCAAGCAACAATGAAGGGGAGAGGCATCAGGTTGATTTCCTGCCAGTCTCTCAAGCTGTCTTTAAAATTTCCCCAGCCCACATTCAACAGGTTCAAGTTACTATTAGATATCAGCTGATTCCAAACCTCCCTAGCAAAATTGCATCTGAAAAAGAGGTGATCACTGGATTCTTGGTTATTATTGCATAGGTGACATCTTGAAGGGCCTTTTAATCCTTTCAGCTTCAATATGTCATCTGTTGGGATTAAATCATTTAGGATTCTCCAAGAAAAGAACAACATGGAGGGGGTTAAGAATTTTTGGCACTTGCTAATATTCCACTTGCAATCTTCCCATTTGAATAAGCTGTTATATATGTCCTTTAAAATGCTGGATTTGGTTCTTTTAATTAGCTAAATTTGGTCTTTTCTATTTCTATCAAACTGGATTTTAGAGATACTTCTAGCAGCAGAATCTTTCAGGACTTTGTTCAAAGCATCCTCAAACCACTCATTGCCATTCCAACAGTCTTTAACCAGTAATTCTTCATCTTTTCCATTCTATAGGGGCTCCAATTGATCAGCAGGGCACCAGTTATCCTTCCAGAAGTTGATCTCTCCCTTTCCCAGCTCCCAGATAAGATATTTGTTAATCTCCTCTCTCCCCTTGA